AGTGGTATCTCATTTGTGATTGCAGTTCAGAATGTCGTGGGATCCTCATAAGGAATATGCAAGATCTCTTCTTTCTGAGTGTTCTATGAAGACATGTGCTATCTAGGTTGTGCAAATTCTGGATATTCATGTAAATGATGACCTAAGAACTCATAATTAGCTTTTAAAACCATGCATGCATATCTTCCTTATGAGCCTCTTGCAAAGGCAGAGGCAAGCCCAAGGGTTTTAAGACAATATATTCTCCTATCACTTAATGGATAAATTTTACCTTCTATTAAAATGATATCCTTGTTATCTGTTGGACAAATTTCAATCATCTATCTTACACTCACTACTTGATGCATCCATTGGCTCTTGCCGGATGCTCAATGTTGGTGGAAACCTTTCAATTACAGGAGTTAGCAGCCTGGTAGTGGCTTGAATTTGTTACTAACATGAGCTCTTGGATGCACTTTCAGGTGTGGCACACATGGTCTATCCAGGAGCGGTGCATTCTAGATTTGAGCATTCCCTTGGAGTGTATTGGATTGCCAGTGAAGCTATCAATAAGCTTAAAACCCACCAAGTATGGTTTTGTGTGTACTATTTAGTTTGGTTTCTCAACTTTGATACTGCCCGAGGGTTCTCATGTAATCCTAATATTCCTTGATAGGGTATGGAGCTTGGAATTGATCACTTTGATATACAGACTGTGAAACTTGCAGGTAAGTAATATAGAATACCTCGTGCATGGATTACTCTTGCCTACTGCAGAATAAATGATCCCCTTCCATTGTGGTTGAATTTCTTAGGTCTTCTGCATGATATAGGCCATGGACCTTTTAGTCACTTGTTTGAACGCGAGTTTCTTCCTAAAGTTCGCAATGGATTGGACTGGTAATACATTTCTGTGGAATGCGTTCTGTTATTTAAGTACCTCTCAAAGATATATGTCATATTCTCATGCTATTCAATTTGTCTTGGCTAATAATAGTTGAATTTTTGACAGAAGATATCTCTTGCAATTTCTGCAACATACTCAATCTTAATTGAAGCTTCTTAGAAATAAATAGTTTTTTGCTTTTCTAGAGCAGGAATGCTTTCATACTGCCTTCTTGGATGCAATTCCTTGGTCAAGCCCTAGTTTTGCCTTTTTAGCTTCAGTTAGTCAATATGGCTCAATCTCGAGCTAACCACTTTAGCGCAGGAAATAAAGATTATGCTTATAGAATACATTATGTTTTGTAAATCCGGAAGTTGTAAGTTAGCAAGGTGAAGAACGTTGGAATATGGTGATTTTATTTAGTGATTTCCGACTCTTCGTGTCTACTCTTGCCTGCTGCTTGTAATGTCGATATTTGAGAAAATCTCTTCCTAGTTAACTATTTTTTTGCTGTTCTAGTTTCTTTGAAGCTTCTTGCACTCATATTGAGGTGATCTCATTACGTGGGGTGGTGCATATCAGTGACCATCTTGTCTTATGTTGTACTTTAGGTCTCATGAGCAAATGTCAGTGGATATGATTGATCACATCGTTGATGAGCGTCATATTGATATTGATTCAGAAACCATTAAAAAAGTCAAGGTAAGATGAATTATTTCGATTACAACTGTGCTACCTTAGGTTTCATGACAACCATGCCCACAACCTATCTTACCGGCTTAAAGAATATGGTGTTTATCAAATTCAAACTTATGCATAAGACTTAGTGATAGTCTTTTGTTCTCTTTCACATGTTTATGCTAAATGGTTGACAAGGTACATCTGACATCATGTGCAATGAGAATGTTAGTTTGCTTATTATATATAGTATTTGTGGAAACTTGTATTGTCAACGAAAGCAAAATGAATTTGACGTGCTCTCCAAGTGTGGTAGATGTTTTGATGATTTGAGCTCTTTTCTTAAAAAGAGGTTGCATTTTTGGCACTAAAACTTGCAAGACATAACTTCTTGTTGGCACTAAAATATTCTGATGATTTACAATACTTTTCAGTGATGTCAGATCTTAGTAAAGGAGTTCTACGAATGTCATGACTACATTGGTTGAGATAATGAAGTTATTTTGTACAAGCTAATTTTTTTCATGCAGCTACAAGACAATTGATCTTACATGCCACAAGTGATCATTAGACTTGTTTACGTTGTAAGCAGGGAGAGTTTTAAATGTGGCCTATTGACATCTATATTCATTGACAGGAAATGATACTTGCTAGTTCCAAGTTTGCATTGACAAAAGTAAGTCTTTCGCTTCCCAGCACACTCAGTTACCAGGAGAAAAAATGGAATCTTAAAATTTGACCGTCTTCATTAAACATGCATTTACACTTTATTCTGAGATTAGCTTTTTATGCTCATCTTGTCACATCATATTCCAATCTTGAACTTGTGCTTTGTTTCAATTTGATTGATTGGTACGTAGAGCTCAAGGGAGAAGCAGTTTTTATATGATATTGTGGCAAATGGTCGAAATGGAATCGATGTTGACAAGTTGGTTTTCTCAACCATGATCATTCGTTCTTTTCTCCCCAACCCTTTTTCCAGTATTTACTGAATGAACTGTCATTGCATGACTGGTAAGGGCTTTCATTTGCTTGCAGGTTTGATTACATTGTCCGAGATAGCCGCGCGTGTGGTCTAGGATGCAATTTTCAGTTCCAGAGGTCTATTCTTTCATCTTCTTGGTTATTATTACGTGGCATCTGTTGATGGATGTCTGAGAGGAAAAATAATTCTTTACCATGTAACTGTCTTCATCTTCTGCAGGTTAATGGAAACAATGAGAGTTTTAGGAGATGAGATATGCTACAGAGCCAAAGACTGTTAGTACTTATGTCTTAGCAGGATTTTATTAGTTTACTCGTTTGACTTGTGGTCTTACTATTTGTATGGATAAATCTTCAGATTTAACGATCTACAAGTTATTTGCCACACGAGCTGATCTACACAGAACTGTTTATACTCATGCTAAAGTGAAGGTACACAGCAAATTTGACAAAGTTGTCCTCTGATTTACCACTAGCATATGTGAAATTTGGAGGTCATCATTTTGTATGTTATATATACTTGTATGTGAAGGCTTTCAATTTGATGTTCCATCATTGCACAGGCAATAGAGCTTATGGTTGTAGATGCACTAGTGAAGGCAAATGATTATCTACAGATAGCATCTCATATAGAGCATCCTTCTCAATATTGGAAGGTTGGCCTGGCCCTTTTTTGTAAGCTTAAATCTCCTCTATTCATGAACCATCAACTTAATTTCTTTATACATGTGGAAGTAGTTAGATGACACCATCTTGAAAACGATTGAGACTGCTCCAGACCCAGAACTGAAGGAATCTAGGGATTTGATCCTTCGCGTTCGAAGGAGAGATTTGTACCAGGTACTGAGGTTATCTACATTGATGGCTGTTGCTTAAGCACGTTATATGAGTATTATGTAACATTTGAAGCTTAAAGTCAATTCTTGTTTTTGCACATGGCAGTTCTGTAATGAGTATGCTGTTCCCAGAGACAAAATAGAGCATTTCAAGGATGTCACTGCACATGATATCATCTGTTCACAGGTAGCTAATATATGGTAGTTTGTAGTGTTTTTGAGAGATTTTAGTAGTTCTGCCGTAATAGTCTTTATCTTACAGAAAAGTGGCTGTGAGAGACTTAAAGAAGAGGATGTTGCTGTTAGCAATGTGAAGATAGATCTGACTCGTGGGAGGCATAATCCTCTTGAAAGGTTTGTCAAAATGGATCAACCGATTACAGTTCTTGCACAGGATTTCTCTGTCCCACTTTCATAACCACTCTGAGCCTCTCAATTTGTTTTGTTTTGTTTGTTTTTCTTTATATGCTCTGGTTGGACGTGTTGCCTCTGCCAGTATCCATTTTTTCAAGGTACAGACTACGGCTTCTATAAGTTTGAGTATCAAGAATTCAATATTTCCTGCCCTCACTGTTAATGATTTTGATTGAAATTCAGGATTATGAAAGTGACGAGAAATTCTCTATACCTGATGATCGTATCAGCCACTTGCTGCCAACATCATATCAAGATATGATTGTGAGGGTGTACTCCAAAAAGCCCCACCTGGTCTGTTCAGATAAGATTTTGCATTTATTTTATCTCTTCTGCTCTGTTAAGTCTGATCTCTGTTCCATTTATTCTACTCAAATCTTCAGGTGGGAACTATTTCTGATGCATTTGAAAATTTCCAATTGAAGACTTATGGAATAAAAGCACAGGTTCATGCAACACCTGAGAAGAAAAAACGTCGTATATGATTTTTGCCCCTCAGTCATCACTAGAAAGTATATTCTACAGTAGATATATTTGATTATAGTATATCTCAAGCAACATATAGCCAATTTGTACAGAACTCTTCAATTGACACGTGAAAGGCCTCTCAAGTCTTATACTAGAGTTTTTGTAGAAAGTTGCTAGCCTTTACTGGAAATTATAATATCCACCAGTTCTGTAACAGTTTTTTGTATTGAGACGTTATTGGAACAACAGATTCTGGTATAGACTTTTGAATATTGCAGAAGCTCATGCTTCCATAGTACCTTCTCTTTTACTCAATGGTTGGTGATTATATATTAGAGGTTTGATGTACCTAAAGTTTGTGTGTTTTCTTAGTTTTTGAAGGGAAGAGCAACAGCTTCGTATGATCTTGGCATTCTCTTATCGATCTTCGGAAACTCTTCACTAGTTATCCCTATGCTTCTTCGTACTAGCTGGCAAATAGTCATGCTTCTTAGTGAACAACGATATCTGGCTTTTCTTATGGTACTTTTTTTCGTGATAATTATAGTTTGACTTTGCATACATACGATTGATGTCAAATTGTATGTGTGAATGATAACGATACCTTCTCTCCATTTACGTTTTTAATCTTCCAAAATACCTTTGCAGACCTTTAGGAGTGGTTGGTTCGTGATAACCCAGGAATTTATAATACAACTGAGACAATATCAAGGGAATTCTCAGTTCGGAGTAAGAATACGCCTGTAGTTAAAGTTTTAGTGGGATGGAGAACGATTAAACAAAGATTTTGTTCCACGTTTAGTTNCTATCACATCTCCCACCTTCAGATCTGCCAAAAAGTCCTCATTTTCTGTCACATAACCAAACACAGCATATCGACCATCCAATATATTGGCATTGCTAGGAGTCAGCTCACTTTCTTTCAATAGCCAAAACACCTGGCTTGATGCAGAATTATTCTCGAATTCCTGTAAGCAACCATTATCAAATGATTTTTGGTAAATACACAATATGGAATAGGCAGAAGCAACGGAGAAAGTCAAAAAAATCTCACCTCTCTAGCCATGGCCATTGTTCCGAAAGCATTGAACGGGAGTCTTGTTTGAGCCTTGTACAGACCAAGATCCTGTTGGTATTATGCCAGAAAACTTTGTTAAATACAAAAGGAATAAGTAGGAATGTATAGACTATGAAGCAAAGTGAATTCATGATAAAGGCAAAGATAATCAGGAAAATATGAAATCTTTGTGAAGTGTTATCAAGGGCATTTTGCCTGGTTTACTATAGTGGATAATATTCTTGATTGAGTAAGCCTGTGATTGTGTTTCCAATTTAGGTGTGTGTAGTGCTGTGGAAGATGAAACGTGTTTCTTTTCACCGAGTGCTAGTCCATGCCAATGGCTAACACATTGGGACAAGTGGCATTTCTCACCACAGTAACTGGTCTATGGTAATTTTGAAGACCAACGCAAGAAACTGGGTGTATTAGACTTGACGATCGCTTGGCCAACAACGTTTACTCTGATACTATATATAACTTCTACTGAAAAGTTGTGAGTGACAATAAATTATCACGGGTAGGACACCAAGAGGTCAAATTTAGAGGCAAAATGACAACTTCATGGACTTACTTCTAAAGTTTCTCCATAGAATGGTACTTTTTCACCATCCACCATAATCTCCAGAGGTACTGTCCGAATTTTCTCAGTGCTGGGGTCAATAAAACCTTCAGCTGGACCTTCAGGATCTCCTGTCTGGACCACAAACCCGTCCGCTGCAGAACATCCACAACAATGAGTTTCAAGAAGATATACAGGCTGAAAACTACAAAGAGAGCACATTCATTCTTTGCTGCATAGACAACTTATTCCATTGGTTTCATGAAAGAACAGATCAAAAACCATAAGCTTACCTCTTTGAATTTCCATGCCGTCATAGAAATGCCTCTCCACCAAGTCTATAAAATTTCCCGCAGTAACCGGAGCATTATAGCCATCTAGTACAATACGAAATACACATTCCTCCACGTTGGGATTGTCTTTGACTTTGACCTTCATATCAACAGTTGCTCTTCCCTTCAGTAAAGGCATATTTTGATATTCTTCAGGCACTTCATATGGGAATCCATCCACCATATCCTCTTCAACACTGCAGAAATCGAATGCCCCAGGAAGATCTCAGCTGCAGTCAATGACAAGGGGTCTAAATGAGCAAAGCATAATTTTGGAAATTCACCATTTTTAAAAGTCGTCCTTGCTCCTCACTTTCTAATCCTAGAATTGGTCCATAGCCAACAAAAAATAATATTTTGGTAGTCAAACCGGAATAAGTAGCCTACTTAGACATTGATCCCTACAATGACACTTCTGTGTCTCCATTGAACAAATTCTAATAAAATAATTGCTTTCACAAAGTTTCTGTAGAAAAAATTTGTTTTGGACAGAGGTTTTGCTACCTTTTCCATTAGAATACTCTATTAGGTATGCATAGAAAACACTAAAACACTGTACATGGATAATTGACTTTCCTTAAAACCAAGTTACCCAATACATATTCAGGGCAGAAGACCAGAGAAAGTTTTGACTAAGTCGCTGAATGATTAGTCTCTTTCTCAGCCTTACTATCTGGTGAAAAAGGAACATAACCTTATCGTTAGGCATATGTATCTGACTGATGTCAACCGATGTAGCAGTAATTAGGCAACATGCTGATGCATCATCAAACAGAGAATTAGTGCCAGACACGGCATTCCTCCAACTCACAGGATGCATGAAAATGTGCATACAAAGAGCAATGCAGACTAAGCTAGCAATAAATTCTTTATTCTTATAAGTAGACTAACCCCCACTCACTGGGCTTCTAGTTGTTGTTGTTGTTGTTATAAGTAGACTAACCTAGCTATACTTACCCTCCAACATAATTAAGCAATTCTTTCTGTTTAGATACAACAGCATCTCGATTCTTGTCTTCAACAATTTTTTGAAGCTCATCTAACCCAACTTCCAGTTTGTTTAGTAATTCAACGCCGTGGTCAGCCTTTGACTTTGCAAGTCCTGAAACAATCAAGGTTTTCCCTTGCTTGAGAGCTCGGGATGCCTGTCTTGTATTCTACACAGTTGAAATACGAACAACCGTTACAAATCCAAAAGGCTACATAAGGTGCAGATTCAAGCCAATAAATGATTAAAGCGGGAGCATCAAATCAAATGACATCTTACTCTTTCGACAGAATCGAGCGCCTTCACACCAGCAACCTTAAGACTCTCGGTAATATCTTCAAGTGGTTTTTGAACTTCTCTTATTGCCTTGTTGTCTATAGGCAAGGCATACCTCAATAACGCCCCGGGATCCTTAATTGGTGGCCCTGAGATCAATACAGAGACATCTGGCAATGCGGGGGTGCTTGCATGGGCAGGACTCAACAATTCCAAACCAGGCACTCCACTTAACAAACTAACTGACAATGCAACCGAAACTGCACACTTCTTCAATGACAAGAACCAATCTTTCTGCATTTTCAGTATAAAACATTATCAAAACAGTTCCTTAGACATTTAAAACATGCATTTGGGAACTTTAGAAACAATTGCTAAGTGCCGTCTTTTCATTACTTACAAATGCTAACATTGTACAGTTAAGGCATCGGATCCAGCTTAACCCTATACACAAACACACACACATATGCAGTTGATTGTTTTTTGTAATATTAAGTACAAACATTGTGATGTAGTGGATGCAATAGTAAACTACATGACTTAAACTTCAAAATTGGCCTATGCCAAGTGCCCTCAACAATATATTTACCTCAATTTCTCATTTTGAAATTAAACCAAACTTAAACGTATAATTCCCACTAGCTCATTCAAAAGAAATGAATACCCATAAAAAAAAGAAGAAGATAAAACGGAAATGCAAATGAAAAATAAAAATAAAACCTGCCTCTTTTTCTTGGATTTCAGAAGAACGTGAACGTTGTGAAGAACATAGTGGAGCAAAATGGCGGATCGGCCCTTTATTTTGAGAAGGTGTAAAAGGGGTGTAACTGAGGGAAGGCTTATGCTTGATGGGTTTGCTGGAAGTTGTCAATGGGGAAGAAAAATAGTGGCAGGAAACAGAGGCTGCCATTGAATTTACAGGTAGTTACAGTTAAGAAAATCTGGAGGACATTTAGGGTTTGGAGGAAAAAAGAATGACAAATGTAACTGTTAACTAACAGAAGAAAACAGGAAGAAGAAGAAGACAGAAATGTGGCCAATTATTAAAGGAGAAATATAGATATGGGGATTGAAGATTTTGGTGTAATGGACAGGAGTAAAGTGGCAAGGGATAAGGCTATGACTGGAAAGGATAAAATTGGGAAATACAGAGACTTAAGTCAACCTCACGCTCCGGATAAGATAAGTGTATCAATTCACTTTGGATATCCCACTGGGTTCTGGGCTTTACCACTGAATTGGGCCGGTACAATATAGAAAGAGATTTTTAAGTACATATGCGCTATTGGAAACTTTATTACTTTCTTTACTCAAGTTTCAATTTAATTACCTTATATATACAAATTTATCAATTATATACACTTTAAGAATTAATTGAGTATCCCTTTATATTAGAAATCAATTATTTCTCATCCTTATTCTCTCTCTCCTGGCCCTCTCTCTCTATGTCTCTCTCTATCTCTCAATCTCTAATTCCAGTAATATAGAGCAAAAGAAAATAAAGCAGCAATTCCACCATTGACAACCATTAAAAAGCTTTGAAGCTTTGAATTCGAATTTGGGTTTTTAAAAAATATTATTTATTTGAATTGGGTGTTGTTGTAAATAATTGAGAACTCTCTCTACGTTTCTCTCTATCTCTCAATCCCTAATTCCAGTAATGTAAAGCAAATGAAAAGAGACCAGCAATTCCACCATTGATAGCCACTAAAAAGCTTTGAAGCTTTAAATTCGAATTTAGATTTTCAAAAATCATTATTTGTTTGGATTGAGTATTGTTGCAAACAATTGAAAATTTAGTTTGGAGTTTATATCTCAATTTTGAGGATGTTTTGGTGAAGATTAGACTTGATTTTGGCTGAATTTCAGATTGAAACTCAAAGAAGAAGAAGAAGAAGACATGACATACATTATACTGCAGAAATTATAGTAAAGTTGTAGTAAAATTATAGAAAAATTATATTCTGTTGTTTATATATATCTTTTTTATTTAAATATTGTATGAAAGTTGAACAATATTGTATAAAAATTGTATTTAAGTTGTATGATATTATAGTTATATATAACTGGGTAGAAATAATGTATGAAAGTTGTAAAAAAGTTGTATAATATATAATTAGTTGTATAAATATAAATCAGATACAAAATATACAAAAGACATATTGTATAAAATTTGTATAAAAATTATATTTAAGTTGTATGATATTATAGTTGTATATAACTGGGTAGAAATAATGTATGAAAGTTGTAGATAAGTTGTATTAAATTTTATATATATATAAGTAAGAAGTGTAAAATGAAAATATACAGTAAAATCACACATATGTATAATAAAATTATAAATTTGATTTATTGGAAAAGTAGGAGGCTAATAACCACAAACTATTATACAAGTGGACTCCAAAATCGTTAGTCATTCAATTTGCCAAACCAATACTCCTATTATCTTAATTTTATAAAATTTTGAAAGTTGCGAGAGAATATTCAAAAATATTACTACTGGACTGCTGGTTGCAGTAAAGCACGTGGATGAACGAATCAGATGTACATAATTAATTATGGGATTTTTACAGTGTATACTTTCTTTTTGGATCAGATTACAGAATAACAACGTTAGTAGTGTGTTAGTCCCACCAGCTTGTCACACACCCCACCGCCATTGCATATTTGCATGGGCTGAAGTAACTATGGAGCAGATGAATTTTGAGATTGATTGAGAATTTTTTGGATAGTCTATTGCAGGGTTATGCTCTGAGAACTCGAATTCAGAAATCGAATACTACAATTCAGATCATCCATTTCAGTGTTTGAGAATTGCCGATTGTGAATTGCCGTTTGTGAAACAAAGATATAGCACGTACGCATTAATTACATAATTCCATTCATCAAACAGGAAGATCAAGCCGATAACAAAAGGTATGGATATCCCATTGTTCAGTAATACCATTGAAACTTTGTTAAGCGATCCAGATTTTGTAAATTGCTTTGCTCTGTCCATGACATGTCGCAGTGTGAGTTGTTGAAAATTGATGCCCAATGAAAACAAACAGATTAGGGAAATGAAAAGGATGGAAGATCTTGAGTGAAAGGAGAAAGATTGAGAGAAAAAAGGAAAAAGTGTATAACTAAATCCTTTGATTGAAAACACTAATAATTGATTGAGAGCCTTTTAAGGTGGAATATATATGCTTTGTAAACAAAATTTGTGTAGGTCGGGTAAATAACAAAATATGAATAATTTTGGTAATAAAGTTTCAAATTAGGGGTGGGCATAAAATCCGAAAAACCGAATTCCGACCGGACCGAATTAATTCGGTAATTCGGTTTCGGTTTTTTTTGGTATTTCGATTCAATTCAGTACTAAATTTTCGGTATTTCGGTACAACGGTTCGGTCCTCGGTATTAGGATCTTGACAATTCGGTATACCGAAATACCAAAAATTTAAAAATCATGTAGAAGATTAGGAGTAGTAGACTGCCCAGTAGGGGTGTCAAAATAATTCTGAAAACCGACCGAACCGACCGAACCGAACCTAACCGAACCGATTATTAGGTTTTTTTAAGTAAAACCGTAGGTTTCAATAAAAATTTATAACCGTACCGAATATTAGGGTAGGTTTTTTTATTTTACAAAAAATACCGAAAAAATACCGAACCGAACCATTATTTTATTATATGTATAAAGTATATTTATATGTTAAGTCTAAAATTGAAGAAATTAAATATTTACCTTGGGCCTTGGACTTTGGGTGGATTTTGATGAAAATAATTAACTAAGATACCCATACGTCAAATTTACCTTTAACCTATTACTATTGAAACAATAAATATATTTTATACATTGACTGCTGCCCTATTATTTGAGTTTCTCCATTGTTTGCTGCCTGCTATTAAAACAAAAGAACTTTCAACCCCCACGTTCCACACGGCACACACTAAGGTATATTTTCTATTCTTTTTTTCCCAATTTGATATTGAAGCTATTCTTGTAGTTTTCTTTTGGAAGCATACATGATAGTAAACTATTCTCTTAGTTTTCTTTATATATGATGGTAAACTACAACTTAGAAAAAGTACAATTGATAAATAAAGCCAAATTTGATAAGGCATATAACATCTTGTTTCCAGCAAATATTAATACATTGAATCATAGTATCTGTATGCTCTGACAGTTCACTATGTTCATATAATACCTAGAGAGATGTTTGTGCCAAATAATTAAGCAAGAATGTGATATCACATAATTCATAAACATTAAGTTTAACATTCATATTTTCAGTATTCATTTAATACATTCTTCATAATAAACAGTTTTTTTTTATTTTTTCTTATTTCAGCTATTCATCGAGAATTACCAAATATTTTTGTCTTTCTTTAATCACTAATGATTTTCATTTTTATTTGTTTTAACAGGTTATATTCATGGATCAATCAAATGCTATGGGCAAGAGTCAAAGTTTTCAAGCTAATGGACATAATCAGGGAAGAACAGAGGATATTAGAACAGAACCAAAGACAGGTATACCTCCTCGACCACCTCAAAAACGAAAAAGAACTAACCAAAAAGGTCCTCAAAAGAAAAATAGTGATCAAGGGTCAGAGGTTTGGTATCATTTTACTAAGATAGAAGAAAGTGAACCAGTTAAAGCTACATGTAATTATTGTAAAAAAGAACTTGTTGCTTCAGGGAGAAATGACACTTCAGGCATGTGGAGCCATATGGATCGGTGTAAATTATATCCTTATAAAAGAGAGAAAAATCAAAAATCTATAACTGATTTCACCACCAAAGGTGAAAAGGGTGATGGTAAAGAAACTAGCAAATCAAAACCACTTAACATAGAAGAAGTTAGAAACGCATTGGCTGCGATGATTATTATTGATGAGTTGCCCTTTAAGATTGTAGAAGGGGAAGGTTTTCAAAGATACAGTAAAGGACTTGAACCTAGATTCACAATCCCTTCAAGAAATACAATTGTAAGAGATTGTTTGGAGATTTACGTAAAAGAGAAAGTCAAATTGAAAAAATTAATTGAAAAGCATCGTTTGTGCCTTACCACAGACACTTGGACATCAATTCAAAATCTTAATTATATGTGTCTTAAAGCACATTGGATTGACAATGATTGGTTGTACCAAAAGAGAATTTTAAACTTTCAGCTCATTGAGAGCCATGCAGGACGGATTATTGGCAGTTCTATTGAGGAATGTCTAATTAATTGGGGAATTGAAAGTGTTTTCACAGTGACAGTAGATAATGCAAGCTCAAACGATACTTGTCTTGATTACTTGATGAAGTGTGTAAAGTGGAAAGATTCAATTTTAGAAAATAAATACATGCATGTTAGATGTGCTGCCCACATTGTTAATTTAATTGTGAAAGAAGGCTTAGCTGAGCAAGATAAGGCCATAATTCGAATTCGAAATGCAATTAGATATGTGCGGCCTTCTCCTGCTAAGTATAGTTTATTCAAGAAATGTGTAGAAAAAGAGAAGATTTCTTATAAACATCTTGTTTGTCTTGATGTTGATACGAGATGGAATTCCACATATAAGATGTTGGAACATGTTGAGAAATTTGAGAAAGCTTTTGTAAGGATGGAATTAGATGATCCAAGTTATAAAAAGTACTTTGATGGAGGTTATAATGGATTGGCAGATGAAAATAAAGATGCAAAATATAACAAGGAAAAGGATTAAAAAACTATTGGAATTTTAAAGATCAATGATGTTGGTAATTCTTGTGAAGAAGCGAAAAATGGGAAAAAGAAGTACGTGAATAAGAAAAAAAAGAGATCCAAAAATCATTGGTCCTCCTAGGCATGAAGATTTTCAAGCAGCAAGATGCTTTGCGAAATTTCTAAAATTATTTTATAGTGTGACATTAAAGTTTTCTGGTTCATTGTATACTACTTCTAATACATTTTTTCGTGAACTGGTTGCTATTCATTCTACAATTGGGTCTCTTTCTGTTCATGAGGATGATGACATGAGAAGCATGGCATTGAGAATGATGGAGAAATTTGATAAATATTGGTCTTTTAATAATAAGACTAATTACCTGTTGTTTGTTGCTATTGTTTTGGATC